TTTATTTCACTATTATTTTATTTCAGGTTTTTTTGCTTAATATAATTGTGATTTTAGCTATTTATTTTTAATAAATTTCAAATCATTTCATATATTAGACAATGGAAGTCCGAACTAGTGAAATTCAGCTCTCGGGAGTCTAAACATGCGCGAGCTAAGGATTAACGAGGTCTCACCTTTTAACGTATATATTTTCAATGCTATCGCCGTAACGGCCTCGCTGGGCCACTCAAAACTAATGAATTGATTCACTCACCCAATATTTGAATTTCAAAAGTGAAATACTTCTTCATATTCTTGATTATCATGACGAGAAATGGTAGTTTGATTCCGAGAGAGGCTCTTGGCTTTATTGGACACGTAATATATGTGGTTGCAACGTTTGTCCCAGAAATTTCCAGCACAAGGGATTTGACCTCGTCGTCAATAACTCTACGAATGTGGCCATTCTTCACCTGAACAGAGAATGATTGGACGATATAATATGAATTCATTCGTGGCAAGCAGCAAAACAGAAGTAAACAGACTGATTGTGTACCACAAAACACTTTATATTTGTTACAAGACATCATTTGTTTCGAAATGATGACATTTTGTGAAATAGCCCAGTAATAAATTTGCTGGGCTGATGTGTCCATTTCTGCTGAATATTCTTCGAAGGGATTATCAGAAACATATCCATTTTTGATATTATCCCTGACAAAAAACCGATTGATTGACAATTTAAATATTGTCTGCAACCCTCTTTTTATTGTATATCAAAGGCTTATTGCTTTGCTTGTCTTGTTATTCTATTTGGATTCCAGGAGATCAGCTACGGAGGCATCAGCAGCAGGAGGTTGCATATCTTAATGATGATCTAGAAGTGATTTCGATTTCGAGTTTGGGTGGAAGTACCCAGGTTCAACTCAATGCCACACAAAACCCTGGCATCCGTTTTCTCCAAAAATATAAATGTCTCCGAACCGGATATAATAATGTCAGGGCAGATAATTATGCTTTCAGCTTCAACAAGTTTGTTAGGGGGTTGAAATGGACACCAATATGTCTTGGCACAACCAGAAAATTGTACACACCTCAGCAACTTTTGATGCTTTATAAAGCTCAGATCAGACCTTCTTTGGAGTGTTGTTCTCATGTAGGGAGCTCCGCCCCTAAGCATACCTTGATGCTGTTGGATTTCACCCAGAAAAGAGCCATCCGCCTGATTGGAGACGCGAACATCACGTGCAACCTTGATGGTAGTCTGGAACACCGAGATTGGAGATTTGTTTCTCTTCTATATATACATTCACGGGAATTGTTCAAGTGACTTGGCATATTCGATTTCATCAATAGTGGTACATATTAGAAATACGCGACGGACTGTGGTTGCTAATCGTTTTGAGGTTCAACTCAGTACACCTCGAACTTCACTGGTCAAGAACTCTTCCATTTCGAGAACTGCGGTTAGCGTTTATGTGGAATAAACTTGCTGAGAAGGTTTTTCCAAATTAATTTAATCTCCAGCGATTCAAATCCAATATGAATCACTACTTTCGCACATGCATCGCTTTCAAAGAGCCTTAAGAATTTTCTTGTAGTGTTTTGTCCGTAAAAAAAAACTAAACAGCAGAGAGAACTTCACTTAACATGATCATGAAAATTGGAGTACTACTCGAACAATATTGAACAATTTTTGGTCGTTAACGGCAAATTTGTTGCAAACTAAGTAAATATATACGAGGTATGTTCAAAAATTGAGCTAAATTTTAATTTTTCCAAAAAAAATATTAACCAATTCATCAATTTCTATTCTGTATCTTTCAAAGTAGTCCCATTAAGATATAATGCACTTGTGCCAGGGGTTTTTTCCAATCCTTGAAACAGTTCTGATGCACTTTTTGGTATGTCGTTGAGCTCTGTCAGCGAATCGGTATTTATCTCCTCAATCGTCGTAAAACGCCACCCTTTCATAAGTCTCTTCAATCTTGGGGACAGAAAAAGCCACAAAGCCACGGGGGACCAAATCTGGTGAATATGGTGGCAAAAAAACTTTGGTTTCGATGTCATAACCATATACTCATGATTCGTCACCAGTTATGACCGTTTTAAGCAAATCTGGATCGCCGTTGATGTCATTCAACAATTCCTGAGCGATGCTTATGCGACGGTTTCTCTGTGCAATTTTGGAACGAACTCTGCTGCCACAGGCTTCATGCCCATAATTTTTGAAAAAATCGCATGGCGAGAGCCAACCGATATGCCGATATCGTCAGCAACTTCTCTAATAGTGATTCGAAGATTCTCTAAGACAATTTTCTTCACTTTCTCAACATCTTCATCGGTTCTTGATGTGCTGGGGCGTCAAAAGCGAGCGTCGGAATTCATATATTCTCGACCTTCTGTGAAAAGCTTGTACCATTCTGTCTCAGAGTACAATCACCGTATGCCACTGTCAACAAGTATATTTGAGCTGTACCTACACAAACCCCCTGGACCTGTACGTTAAGAAGGTTGCGTTAATGGCTATGTTACGATTGCGCATGGCTGGTGTAAACCTCGAAGTAGGAATGGGTCAATTGAGGCTGAGCCTACGGCGAGAAACGCTTACTGCACAACCTCTGCTGTAGGCAACCATTGATGTAATTGAACCCATGTTTGTGTTCAATAAACACTACAAAATACATATAAAACAGAACACTCAGTCAGATGCTACAAATGCAATACGCATATATACAGACGGCTCAAAAA